ACAACACTTTTGATTCAACATCCTCCTCAAAGAATGTGCTACAACACTTTTGATTTAGGTTGCTGATACATAATGGTTTCTTTTTGTTTCTTGTTTTACTTTCTTTATCTTTCTTTCAATTAAGATGAACGAAATGACCATCTTTTTCACTTTGAGGGAAAAAGTTTAATATTCCCATTACAAGTGTTACCCAAAAAAAATAATAATAATAAAATTGATGAAAAAGTTAGACTAATAAAAGATGTTATCATAGCAACCTTTGATCAAACTTTAGTTAATTTGATCATTCATATCTTATATGTAATCTTACACCTGTATTTAGTGAAATTGTCTGAATATTAAAAGTTCAAATTCTTTTGTCATCAGCAAATGTTATTATTTATCAAAAGTGTCATCTAATAAGTCTATTGAAATTCAACCATGTCTTCAAAACCATATCAAATAACCATGATCTAATACACAAGAAACGACATTCATATCAAAGGTAAAAAGAACAATAAATAAAATAAGTAACGTTTCCAAAGGAAAGCACACGAAGCAATAATGGGAGACAACATGAGAGAGCGTAAAATTAGGGCTTGAACCAACAAAAAGCGAAATTTGAGTTTGACAAACCGTGCCACTACGTTTGTAACAGTCATAGAAAACCATCCTTAATAGTTAGCTAGTTATTTATGCAACATCTCGCTAATTAGTAAGATGACCTCTTATATTCAAATGCATAGAAGAAGCGAAGTCAAGTGGTATATATATAATTTTAAATGGAATGCTACATAGGAGTTTGCAAATTGTAATTTATCTTTAACAATGATTTGTTCTTCCATAGGTGGGCAAGGGGCACCATCTTCATTTCTTCATGTAAAGGGGCCAATAGTAGGTGAAAACTAATTTCTTGTTATTAGGTTAGCTATCTATCAAAATGTTTAGATTTTTATCCACTATTATTGGTAGACATCAGTTTTCCATAATATGAACACGAATCTCCAAATCATACTTCGAGACTTGATTCTAAGTCATAACGTGTATTTTTAAAGAGAGGTTCTCCTTATTTGTAAAAAAAATGAATTGCTGGACACTGTATGTATATTTTCAATGTAGAATTATTTATAGGTTGCAATTTCATTTGGTAACATTCTATTGAGTTTCTATTTTAATTTCCAATTGGTCCAATTTCGATGAATGATTCTTTTTTTTTTTTCTTCATAACATTCCAAAGCATGCTAAAGAATTTTTGTTTCTTTGTTCTTTATATCATTTTCAGTTTGCCTTTAGTCTTGCCACCCAGAACTTTATTTCATAGCAAGATAGAGACAAGTTGATTTTATTAAAATTATCAAATCGATAACTGACAGATAAATTAAATTTGCGATTAAGCTATAATAAATTATCTTAAACATAAAGATAAATGTCATAAGATTTACTTTAGCTATCAATTTACCACAACTTTCCTCGTTTACAAAACTTGAGGCAAACTACGAAAACACAATTAATCTATTAAATAAAGACAAAGTGGCTTAGCATGATACAATTATCAAATCCATAATTGACACTTAGAGATGAAATTTCTGATTAAACTATAATTAATTATCTTAAACAAAGTGGTTAATCAATTGTTTAAATTTTATTTTGGCCACACAATGTTACTAGTTCCAATTATCTCTTACAATTCATGCTAGATATCAAGTATGTGGTTATAGAAAATAAAGAAAAAGAAATTCATAGGGTAAATAAATAAATTATTCATTTTTAATCCCTTAAATTATTAAATAATCATTCACAATATATTATTAGATATGTGAAGTATCATCCCTCTTCATGGACCGTTTATGAAAATTGTGTATGTATTAAGCGTTTTGATAATCAACCTAACATTCACAGGAGATCGTGCTAAAGTAGAAAATAAGATAAATAACTTTGCTCATTCTTTATTTATATAAAATTATTTAAAAAATATTCTTTCAAAGTATTGCTTTTTTCTTTTTGTTTAAAATTGAGGAATTCTAATCCTAATTTCAATACTCGATTATATGTCTAATCAAACTCCATGTACTTAAATTATCGTGCAATAAAAGCTTTTAAATTATTAATCACAAATAGATTCATCATTAGTTCTCACGTAATTGTTAACAAATTTGACGATTTTTTTTATGTTAAAGTACGTATAAATGGCTAAACCTAAAACAACAAAATAAGTGGGCAAAAAGCAACATCTCCATGACATTGACAAATAATTAATTTTACTACGAATTGTATAAGAAAGTACAAAAGATTCGTGGGGTAAGTCCAAACTGCCTTAGAAATATTCTTCTAAAAGAAATGATTCCAAATACAAATAATCACATGCAATTGGAGGGAAAATTACTCGAAGTATTTTCATATATGTTTAACCAATTACTTAATGGAGTCGTGATATTTAGATGTGGCTTCAGGCTTTCTACCACTCCACTAAGTTATATTTTGGCTTCATACTATAGAGACGTAGACTTGGAAGTTATTGAAAAATGTAACAAATGCTCTCAAATGATATTATTTGATCATTTATGAGCCACTCATACATACCTTCAAGTTGATTGGAATAGAATTTGATGTGCCAGGTTTCATTGATTGCCCAAAATACTATCTGATTCGATCAACTACCTAAGCCGTAGTGAGCATGCTTTATTCGTAAATAAGGAGATGGAATGGATAGAGCAATCCACCTCATGTAGATGAGGAGAGGGAACTTCTCTATTTCGTAAAAATAATATTAATTATGTATTTGCTCGACCTAACAAAAATTACATAAAAGTCATAAAAGAAAAGTTGGGTAAACTAAAATCAAGTCGAGTACATATAATTGTAAGTTTCATTTGCACTAAAATAACTTATTACATCGCTGCACGTGCACCCTATTCACACTATCTCCTTGAATTAAAATTCCTCACAAAAGTGCTACAAATTAGGTATCACTAAAACACAATAGTTGGAGCAATTGAACTGCAATTAAGCCAAACCCACAAGTGAAAAACATCATAATCTAGTTGTCTTAGTGCCATTAGGTTCTTTTTGTCATTCTATTCTTGTCTTTGAATCTTTTGATTAAAATTATCAAACAAGTCACCAACTCCAACTATTGATCACCTTTTGACAAAATAACTTATAATTTGTGTCTTTTCTTTAACATAAACTATTTACTATCATCTATGACTACAAATAAATTATTTTAAAGTAAAATATTGATAATTTAGACAAATCTCATATGCAAAATTGTCTTTAATATTGACAATGATGTTAGTTGAGGCATTGATAAATTTTAATAATGATGTTAGTTGAAGCATTGATAATTTTTTCCTCATTTCACATCTCATTTTCTTTACTACTCAAACAAAGGTTTTTAATTTTTTGTGTCTCGCCATTGTCTACAATGAAGAGTTTGTTCATTTAAAAGTACTAAAAGGATCTCCAAATTACTCTCTATTTTAAAAGAGCAAATTCTATCATTTAAAGATGATTTATAAATTTAGATAGTTAAAAATTTGAAGTTTTCGAACAAACTCATTATATTTACCACTTAATTTTACTACTCTCAAGAAATACTTATTATTTGTTATTTTAACTATCTTTTCTTTAGATTAATTTATTATTTTTCTACATTGAAAATTGAAATACTTTGAATGTATTTAATTATAGAAAGTGAATTTGTCAAACACACTCTCTAAATTAAAATGTTAGTTTAAAGAATTTTTTCAAGCATAATTTTAAAGATTAACCCTTTAAAATAGAGAACGTCTCATATTTAAAGAATCTTTTGAACATATTCCAAGTACATTTGATGCTTGTTCACGTGCTGGTCTATCTACCTAACTCGCGATAATTGTATGTCATAAATTTTACACGTAGTTAATTGTATGTGCAGTAATGCAAGTAGTTGAATGTACCATGCATTTATTTCAATCAACGTGCTTTAAATTTTGCGTCTCTTCTCTGCAAACTCTTAACATACAAGTAAATTATAATTTACATTTCATTCTTATCGTATTGAAATTTCAATTTTATCTATTCGGGAAATTTTTATTTGAATTTTCAATTCTAGTCCACATGCAAAATCAACAAATTCATATAATTCATGTTTAATTCAACTTAAAGGATTAAAATGTAAGACATTAATAATTAATTATAATAATACAATTTAACGAACTTTCAACTTTTCAATCACACGTTCCATTAACTTTTATCAAAATCTACTAAAAATTCTAATTTTTGTCTAAACAAAATAGAGGCATATTAAATTTCTCTACCAATGGCAAATTCTAATTGATGTTTTTTTATTTGAATTTTAATTCTTGTTCACATGCAAAGTCAAAAGCTTAATTTTTACCTACCCCATTTAAGTTTCTCCATTACAGCCCACCTGTACATAGTCTGATTTATATATTATTTTCGTTAAGTTTTGATCAAATTAAATTTCTCCATAGGGTACATATTTTAAAAATAATAAAGTCAACATGTTCAGAGTGGTAGCTCACCAAATAAAGAGATGCAAAAAGTAAATAAAATAAAATAAAATAAAATAAAAAATAAAAATCATTGCAAGTTATAAACATACATACGAATCCATCGAAGTGTTTCAAATGTTTCCTAATTTTCATTAAACTTTAAAATTCTTATGAGTTAAAACTGTAATTATCAAAACATTAATTTATCCGTCACTCTTTCATTCGTTGTTTAAAAAATTAACCAATTTAATGACATGACAAAATATTGGTCGAGGAAATTTCACATTTGAAATGGTTAAATATCGTCACTAAATTTTTTCATATATTTCTCAATACATATTAAGCTTCAAAATGGTGTGTCGCGTAATTAAAATAATTAAAGGAAAAAAAAAAAAAAAAAAAAAAAAGCAAGAGAAAGGAAGAAAAGAAAAACTAAATTTTATTTATTTTATTTTTTATTTTTGTTATTTTTTTGGAAGGGGAAAGTTACAAGTTATAAACCTATACATTAGCTTTAAGAAAAATCATCACACTGCAAATCGCTCAGAAAAGCGCACACACCCCTGGCATTGAAAAAGTCACTCTTGATTATCAATAAGGACTCCCCCCTTCTTTTTCCCCCCATTCATTCATTCTTTCTTTCTTTCTTTTTACATATTACCCAATTTGCAGTTGCATGCTAAAGGAAAAAAAATCTGGGCTTTCTTTTCCTGAAGTATTAAGGTTGCACTTCATCTGTTTGCATATCTTCTTAGCCAAATGCGAGTGGAAAATTTTGTAGCCAGATCTGAAGCCCAGGTTCAGTTTTTCTAATATATGGTTGAGTAGAGACAGAAATGGTGGCTGAAACTTGGATATTAAAGATGGGAAATCAGATGAGTGACAGTTTAAAGCATGCTTCGGTTCTTGAGAATTCAAAAAAGTCATCATCCAAGAAACAAGGTCAGCAAGAAAAACAAATAATTGGAATTCTTTCATTTGAAGTTGCTAATGTGATGTCCAAGATTATTCACTTGCATAAATCCTTGACTGACGTTGAGATTGTTAAGCTTCAAAATGAGATCTTGAAGTCCGAGGGAATAAAAGCTCTTGTGACTAATGATGAGTCAATGCTTTTAGAGATAGCCCTTGTTGAAAAACTAGATGATTTGAATAGGGTTGCTAGCGTTGTGTCTAGGTTAGGGAAGAAATGTACAATTCCAGTATTGCAAGGATTTGAGCATGTGTATTTGGACCTTGTTTCTGGGTTGATTGAGGTGAAAGAGTTGGGATTCTTGGTGAAGGATATGGAAAGTATGATTAAGAAAATGGAGAGGTTTGTCGGTTCCACAGCTAGGTTGTATAGCGAAATTGAGGTAATGAATGAGCTAGAGGTGGCCACCAAGAAATTTCAGCAAAACCAGCATGAGGAGAGTAGGAAGGCTTTCGAACAGAAATTGATGTGGCAGAAACAAGATGTGAGACATTTGAAGGATGTTTCGCTTTGGAACCGAACATATGATAAGGTTGTTGAGCTGCTGGCAAGGTCTGTGTGTACAGTCTATGTGCGGATATGTATAACATTTGGGGATGCCATTTTGAAAAAGGACATTTTGAATGCTTCGGTTTCCAGGTCACAGTTTAATTTTGGTGGAAGTTTACAGCGATTGAAGCAAGAATCTGGACATAAATCCTGTCATTTGGATTTAGACCGAGCAGTTCAAACAAATGCTAGTTCAACAAAGTCATTTTCAGCCAAGAGTAGTGGTTATGGTCATTCAGTTCCCATTGAGAAAGGGCAGTCAGAGGAGAGGAGGGTAAATTTTAGGCCTCAGGTTGAGTTGCACAAAAGTGAAGGAGGCTTGTCTGGTCCTGAGGCTTTCAATTTTACATGTGGTATGGGGCCCGGGAGGATGTTTATGGAATGTTTAAATATGAGCAATTCGACTTTGAAAGTGGACGATGATGATTATGTTAGTCATATTGATCGAAGCAGTCAAATTTCAGGACGCTGCAGTGTTTCAAGTGGTGTGAAGAGAGAGCAACTCAATCTTTCTGGTTATTCCATTTGTTCCCTGAACAGTGATCCTTTCGGTGATAACCAGAGGCCAGGTAAGTCTGGTTCGTTAAATGGAGTAAGGTTTGGACCTAAAAGTAGGTTGATGGCTTATGCTCCTCCTAGCACTGTTGGAGGCTCTGCTTTAGCCCTGCATTATGCAAATGTTATAATTGTCATAGAGAAACTGCTACGTCACCCACATCTAGTTGGCGAAGAAGCTAGAGATGATTTATATCAGATGCTGCCAGCAAGCCTACGAAAGACTCTGAAGATTAAATTGAAGTCTTATGTAAAAGATCTGGCAATTTATGATGCGCCACTAGCCCATGATTGGAAGGAGAGGCTTAATGAAATGCTTAAGTGGCTAGCCCCACTAGCACATAACATGATCAGGTGGCAAAGCGAGCGTAATTTTGAGCAGCATCAAATTGTCACAAAAACAAATGTTCTTTTGATCCAAACATTATATTTTGCTGATCGCGAAAAGATGGAGGTGGCAATCTGTGAGATACTTGTTGGTTTAAATTATATATGTCGTTATGAGAATCAACAAAATGCGCTCTTGGACTGTGCGAGTAGCTTTGATTTTGAGGACTGCATGGAGTGGCAATTGCAACTTGGCTCTTCAGTTTATCATCAATTTTAATGTTGACATTCATACACAACTATGGTGGTAATTTTTAGAACTTTCTTCACTTGTATTATAACATAGATGATAGTTCTATACATTGCGATTATGTCGGAGCTTTGGACACTGAATATGTCAAATGGTCTGTTGTAAGATGAACGTCGATATATGTATTTGATTGCAAGATGTTGACAAGCTGAAAAGCTACTTTTTAGTGAAGTATGGAAGACATACTTCTTAAAAAAGTAGCTAAAAAGCATCTTTAAAGCAAAGCGAAATGTGCTTATCTATCTAACTTGAGTGGAAAACTTTCATATTCTATTGCCATGTTCTCTCGTGAGGAATGGTGTTTGAATGACTTTCTGTTTCTTGCTTTCCTAGATGTACTAATGATTGTGTGAATAAGCCCCTGTTGAGCCAGAAACTCAAATTAGAGGCTATCTCACTCATTTTCTGGTTATGGATGACATACTATATATTATATTTGCCTGAAACTGAAAGTGATATTAATATGCATTTATGCCACCCGCATGTGCAATTAAGATTGGATATTCTAAGATATTTATGAAATGCATTATCCTAAATAATATCAATGTCTTTGAGTTAAGAATTATTCAAATAGAAGTTTTTTTCACAATGCTTAGGTATTGTGTTAGAGATGCCTTGTATTCTCTCTCCGTCACTCACAAAGCACAACACGAGTGTTTTTTACAGTTTGTTCATCTGGAGTTTGGTACCCATTGTACTGCAAATAACTGCTTGAATTAATTTGTTAATTTTGGGATTTAGAATGTGCATCATATTGCACTGTGTCTGTGGTCAATCACAATCTGAAGAAATAGCTAACCTGGTATTTGGCACTTAAAGTGTTTAACTTGTAAATACTCAATCGCATTAATCTATTGTGTTTGCCTGAATTGTTATCATTTCAAGATAGAAAATGTTTTGATATGCCATTCAAAGCTGCATATCTGGAGCAATATTATCAAATCTTGGCTGGCTGCATTCTATACTATGAATTGGTAGTATTGACAAGATCCAAACAATTTTGCTTCCTTATTCTTTATTCTGATTTTATATACAATCTTTTCTTGGTCTTCTTCAAAACTATTTGCTGTGGTGACAGTTGTTCGTCCGGCTTCTTTATCATGCAAATGGAATGTGAATTTCATGTACCTGATAATACGTATCATCCATGTACTGACTGGATTATTGCAGCAAGAAGACTAGATAAGAGTTCGTGATGTATTAAGCTTTATTTCTGCTTTGGTAGCCTTGAATTGGAGCCTCAAATTTTAGTTTGGGAAGAATCAACCCAAATTTAAGTGGGAGTTCTCTTGCATTTAGAATGAAACAGACAATTCCATCAATTTTGCCTATCACAGCTCTGTGCATATCTAAGGATCAATGGTAGTTAGTATTGTCTCAAAATGAACTTGTTAATATAGAGGGCATTATCATTTATTTTCTTTATCAGCTTGCTAATGCAGAACTATTCTGGGGAAGGGCTCCCGAGGTTGTCAGTTGATCATTCTCGTATTTCTCATAGTCATTAATGTATGATTTCAGTAAGGATAGGAACCGAGCTGATACTCTATTTACCTGGTTGGATAGCTAGTATTTGATAGAACCATTTCCTCCAAATGACTGAAAATCTAAATGCAGAAGCTGGATTTTGTTCAATTTGATTTTGCTTGATATTTAGCAATTATTTGAAGGCTGGAGGAGAATGTTCTCTAGGCGTTTTTATTCCTGTTATCTTGAGTTAAGTATGATTTCATCAAAATAAACGTTATATGGATAATCTGCCTTTTCCTGCAGATTATAAATTTGGTCAGTGTAAATGCATCTTAAATCTGTTTCCCTCGCATGCTTGTAATGATTCGACATGTTCATTCTGATGTAAATCTTGCTTTTGAATGAATCACTTGAAAGTAGGAGAATTTTGTGATCGAAGTATGGAAGAGGAACGTAAAATCATCTTGTTTATGATTACCAGATGCTTTTGCTTGAACTGCATATTTAGGAAATTTTTGACATTATTATAGTGGAGTTTTTCGTACTTCTTCGCTTTCAATCTATTCGTCATCTCTTCCTTTTTCCATGTTTGCGTAGCTGCTATGATTCATCTTCAACGAGCTTAGTATCTTCAAGGCATGTTCGACACCCCTGCTGCATGATATTTGGGATTGTGTTGTCATAAATCAATACGGATATATGCATGTCCCATGAAAGGTTACTTATGCTATGTGGTCCTAGCATTCTTTTTTATGCAGAATTTACCTCAATGATCTTGGAAATGTCTCGTGTTGGACAAAAATGTATTTTTGATGGCTTTCCCAATTCTTGGGTGGTAAAAATGAATAATGATGTTTGGTAAGTTCCAATATACAATATGTTCAAAATTTGTCAATCATGTGACCAACGACACTTAGTGTTAATTTTCATATGGAATGAAGCAATTTTCATTAATGGAGCAAACGTTACATTGGTGAATATATTACATTCATAATCTGTTATATATGGAAAATATCAATCTAGGACAATATGGTTTATAAGGAAATTAGAATCCCTGTAATAATGCTGAATACTTCCCCTCAAGTTGGAGCATGAAGGTCTGTAATGTCAAACTTGCGAGTGAAGTGGTCAAAAAGATTCTTTCCAAGAGTCTTAGTAAAGATATCAGCCAGTTGAAGCGTGGAAGGGACGTGTGTAGGTAGAATGAGCCCAGAGAGATACTTCTCACGCACAAAATGGTAATTGATTTCAATGTGTTTGGTATGCTCGTGAAAAACAGGATTGCGGGTGATGTGTAGAGCAGCTTCGTTATCACAATAGAGCAATATACGTTGCGGATGAAAAACAACAAGATCACGAAAGAGAGATTTGAGCCAAACAAGTTCACATGTAGCCATTGCCATAGCACGATATTCAGCTTCGGCAGAGGAGCGTGAAACAACAGTCTGTTTCTTTGTACGCCAAGAAATGGGACTAGTGCTAAGATTGACAAAAAAAACCAGTCGTGGAACGGCGAGTGGCAAGGAAACTGGCCCAATCAGAGTCAGAGTATGAAGAGAGCTTGAGATCACATTAAGCAAAATAAAATAGTCCATGACCTGGAGAACCTTTTAAACGTAAAACATGGAATGCAGTTCGATGATGTGAATCCAAGGGCTTTGCATAAATTGGCTCAACATATGAACAGAAAAGGAGATGTCTGGGTGGGTAATAGTGAGATAATAAAAAAAAAAAAAAAAAAAACAGTCGTGGAACGACGAGTGGTAGGGCAATTGGCCCAATCAGAGTCGGAGTATGCAGAGAGTTTGAGATCACATTGGGCAGAATAAAATAGTCCATGACCTGGAGAGCCTTTTAGATATCATAGAACATGAAGTGCAGTTCGATGATGTGAATCCCGAGAGCTTTGCATGAATTGGGATGTAGCTTTGCATGAGTCCCATCGTTAGGATGTAGCTTCAAATTTTGATCTATGGGAAAAGAGGCAGGCCGTGAGCCCAAATTACCAGAATCTGCAAGTATATCGAGGGTGTACTTTCGCTGATTAAGAAAAATACCAAGCGGCGAACGGGCAATTTCAAGGCCAAGAAAGTATTTCATGGTGCCCGAATCCTTGATTTTGAAACTGTCATCAAGCGAATGTTTGAGAGTAGTGATAGCAGAGACATCATTTCCTGCAACCAATATGTCATCAACATAAACTAGAACAACAGTGAAAGAAGAACCAATAGTCCGAGTAAAAAGCGAATGATCAGTTGTAGATTGAGTAAAACCATCTGACAATAAGACCGAGGACAGCTTTAAGTACCAATTACGCGAAGCCTGCTTAAGACCATACAGAGATTTAAGGAGTCGACCATATCGACCTTTCGACCATATCCCCGAGGAAGTGTCATGTAGACCTCCTTCTCTAAATCACCATGAAGAAATGCATTATTGACATCAAGTTGATGAAGATGCCAATTACGGGCAGCTGCGATAGCCAAAACACAACGGACAGTAACAAGTTTAGCAATGGGGCAAAGGTGTCATGATAATCAAGCCCCTCAACTTGAGTGTAACCCTTGGCCACCAAATGAGCCTTCTACCTCTCAATTGAACCATCAGCATAGAGTTTAGTTTTGAAAACCTATTTACAACCGATAGCTTTCTTGTCAGGAGGAAGAGTTGTAAGAACCCAAGTGCCATTAGATTCAAGTGCTCGAATCTTAGCTTGCATGGTATCGTACCAATGTGAATGTTTAACGGCTTGAGAGTATTGAGTAGGGTCAGAGGACTGTGATAAAGCAGATAAGAAAGCAAAATGATTTGCAGAAAATTTATTATACGAAACAAAATTGGAAATGGGATGAGTGGTACCTGAAGATGAGACTAGAGCGGTGCAAGTCGTAACAGATGAGGTTGAGGGCAAGGTAGGGTAAAGGTAGTCAGCAAGGTGAGCAGGACGTTGTACAGTGCGACGAGGGCGAGTGGAAAGAGGGACAGGGAAGGGTTCTGGAGGAGGGTTAGGCATAGGTGGCTGATCAGGGGTTTCAGGAACAGGAAGGGGTAAGACAAGGGGCGAGCTGGAAGGTGGAGGTAAAAGTTTAAAAGGGAAAATATGTTCGAGGAAAGTGACGTCCCTGGATATGATAATTCGTTTGTGTTCTAAGTCATAAACACGATAAGCACTGTGAGTGGATAGGTAACCTAAAAACACACAAGGACGAGCACGGGGTTGAAACTTGTCATGGTGAACGGAAGTAGTATGAGTATAGCAAAGACAACCAAAGACACGCAAATGGTCATAACGAGGTGCCTTTTGGTAAAGGCGTTCGAAAGGAGAAATATTATGTAGGGAGGATGAAAGAGTGCAATTAATAAGGTAAGTAGCAGTGAGCACACATTCTCCCCAAAAGGTAACAGGAAGGTGAGCCTGAAAATGTAGACATTGTGCCACAATTAAAATATGGCGATGTTTTCGTTCAGCTAGACTATTCTGTTGAGGTGTCTCCACACAAGTGCATTCATTAAGAGTGCCTTGTTCATAGAAAAAATCTTGAGTGGTGCGAGCAAGGAACTCTTGACCATTATCAGTGCGTATGTGACGTATCTTGAGGTTGAATTGAGTGTTGATCATTACCAAAAAAAAAAAAAAAATGCACGTAAACAAGATAAGGTTTCAAATTTAAAGTTCATTAAATACACCGATGTGACCCGAGTGTATTCGTCAGCTATGGTTAAAGAAATAATGTGCACCTGAGAGAGAGGCAGTATGATAACCCCCCCAAATATCACAAAATATTCATTCAAAAGGCATCAAACTTTTATTCGCAACTAAATGAAAAGGCAATCGAGTGTGTTTACCACGATTACATGCATCACAATGTTCAATAATTTTAGGACGAGAAATAAAATTTCCATTACAAAAAAAAAAAAAAAATGCACGTAAACAAGATAAGGTTTCAAATTTAAAGTTCATTAAATACACCGATGTGACCCGAGTGTATTCGTCAGCTATGGTTAAAGAAATAATGTGCACCTGAGAGAGAGGCAGTATGATAACCCCCCCAAATATCACAAAATATTCATTCAAAAGGCATCAAACTTTTATTCGCAACTAAATGAAAAGGCAATCGAGTGTGTTTACCACGATTACATGCATCACAATGTTCAATAATTTTAGGACGAGAAATAAAACTTGGAATATTGTCTAAGGAGGGGTGACCTAGACGTTGATGCCATGTATCAAAGGAGATGAGACTCGATGATTGTAGAGCAATTGTTGGAGCCGGTTTGAAGTAATACAATTCGTTACGCTCATTACCCGTGCCAATCAGCATCTTCGTAGTTAGGTCCTGAAATGTGCAAAAAGTGGGGAAAAATGAGACAACGCAATTGAGTGATTTTGTTAATTGGCTAACTGATAACAAATTAAACTTAAATTCAAGAATCGATAAAACATTGGAAAGTGATATACGATGGGATAAAGTAATATCACCTGTGCTAGAGATGGGAGACTGCGACCCTGTGGGAAGAGAAGCATAAAGTGGACTAGTAATATCATGGCAATTATTAAGGGGCAAATTAGTAATGTGGTGTGTGGCACCACTATCCACTATCCATGATTCACGACCAAAAGGAGGAACAAAAGAGGAGACAGAGCCAGAACCTGCGAAGGAGTGGGTTGGGTTTTTGAGGAGTTCCATCAATTGGGCGTACTGATCGGTGGAGAGGCTGGGGATTTCACTCATGGTTGATGGGGGCATCTGGGGCGGTAGCGGACACCTGATGAATACCCGGCGGCGGGGGCACTATTGTGCTCCGTTTATTCTTGGACGGCCACCATTCCGAGTAGCCAATAATCTCAAAACATTTGTTGTGTCGGTGATCCGGCTTCCCTCATGCTTCACAAATTGATGTTCTAGTAGGCCAAGAACATTGATAATGAGCTGTGGTTTTTGGTAGCGTCGAACGAGCAGGAGCAACTAGGGCAGAGGCGTCTGGTCGAGGCGAGGATAATTGAACCAATCGTTGGGTTTCCTCTTGATGAAGGATAGCATAGCAGTGAACTATAGAAGGGAATGGATTTGTAGCCAAAATTTGTGATCTAAGTTGCTGAAAACTGTCGTTGAGTCCCATAAGGAATTGATACACCTTGTCAGTCTCTTGAATTTCAACGAGGGATTTAGAGGCCCTGCATGTACATGGATTCATTTGCTGTAAGGAGGCTAGTTCATTCCATAACTCCTTCAATTTTCCATAGTATGTTGTGATGGATTGTTGTTCTTGGTGAAAATTGGCTAAATCCCTTTTCAATTGGAAGATCTTTGTACCATTGCTTTGTTGAAAACGAGTTTCTAACTCGACCCACAAATCGTTTGGTGTGGCACAGTAAAGAAGGTTGCCTGTAAGTGATCGATCAATTGAATGTAGAAGCCTTGACATTATCATGTCACAGCACCAGTCCCAAAGTTGTGCTGCGGTATCATCAACAGGATGTTTGATGGTGCCGAGGACAAAGCCTAATTTGTTCTTGGCATTCAAGGCACGAGTGATTGCTCGATGCCAAGCCGGGTAGTTGTCGCCGTTAAGAGGTGTGTTGACAAGAATTTGGTTTAGTTGGTCTGATGCGGCATATAGTATGGAGAAGAAGCATCTGTAAGGGATTTGTTGGCATCCAAGATAAGGGCAGAAACTGATTTGGCCATGGCAAATGCAAAGGTATGAATTTGAAACCTAACCTTGCTCTGATACCATGTTAATTTTCATATGGAATGAAGCAATTTTCATTAATAGAGCAAACGTTACATTGGTGAATATATTACATTCATAATCTGCTATATATGGAAAATATTAATCTAGGACAATACGGTCTATAAGGAAATTAGAATCCCTGTAATTATGCTTAATACTTAGATCGCCTCTTTGCAACCTAAATTCAACCTACACGTTGAACATTCCGTTAGGAGGCAAAGGTCTCCGACCGAAGGAAAATGTTCAATAATTATTTGTACTTCGATGGTCAAGTCACTGCTGGAATAATATATATAGAGTGCAAGGGAAAATAAGGTAAGGGAAGTGCCTAGAGGAAGTGAAATCTTAATTCAAATGTGGAGTTATTTTGTCTATTTTTTGAAGATGAAGTGGGCCAAGGTGGGCTTGGTAAAATGAACCAAGCCCAAGCCAAGATAAGCTTAGTTATTTCAATTGATCCAATCCCTTTGACATAATTAACTAATATCAAGTCACCCAACGTGAGACCATCGATCACATGCAAGTTTAGTGACGGATTCAGAAATTATTCGACACGGGCTGACACGTCAAAAAAAACAAAAAAATCACACACACACACAAGTATAATATATATATTTTTTATACTCAAATCTTTCTTTTTAATTAACATTTGGGCTGGAGGGACGGACTCTAGCACAGCCTCACCCGTCCCTAAATCTGCCATTGCATGCAAGTTAGGCAAGTTTTTGGCATCAACACAGTACTTAAAAGAGAGCAGAAGGGGAAAAGAGAGAGAGAGAGAGAGAGTTTGAAATCTTATTTGTTTGTCATTATTTTGCTGATTTTTGTGTTCTCCGCACTGTTTTCTTAATTTTTTTTTCGTTGTAAAGCAAAATGAGAGTAGTTTGTTCAATGACTTACAATGAATCAAATAAGTAATGAATTAGAGTTTGAATTGCTGTCACCCCGATTTTTGTTTTTGTCCACCACAATATGAAAACACACAAATTGAAAAATATTTTTGATAAGCGCACCACATTTATTTTACAAATTTAATCCTAGTCTAGTTAGAAAAAGAAAAGAAAAGAAAAGAAAAGAAAAGGAAAGAACAACAAGAAGAGGAAAAATTTGTACCCCAGTCATTCCCTTGCCAAGTATTACCCTCCATTGTCATTCCCTTAATCTGCTTACTCTCCTCCACCAATGTAGGCGCCACCATCCCCAAAATTATTTATTGCGAATCAGCAATTTCCCTTGTACAGAGGAATTGCTGCCAGGATTTTTCCACAGCACCATTCGTTTGATCTTCTTTGTTTCTTTTCTTTTTTTTTTTCTTTTTTTCTTTTTCTTTTTTGCCATTGTCCAATAAAAAGCTGACAAGTGTGTTCTATAGAAATTTTAGCATCACTTTTATGTACACATAGCAGAATTGATTGCCAATACACCAAACTTGATGATTTTGTATACAATTGCAAAAGACAGAATGCCAAGGATTTGACAAAACATTAATCATGCTTGATGCAACTTCCTTTGCAGCGAGGCGGTGGAAATTATTTGTGCTCATATAGGTTATTGCGAAATTTAATATGTGCTCGTATGGAGAAATTTGAGTGGGTAGAATTTGATTGTTCTCATATAGATTATTTTGAAATTTGATTTGTCTTCATATGGATCACGCGCAATGGAGATTTTCAAAGTGATGAAACGGTTAAATAAATTATTAAAAAAAAAAAAATTATAATAAAATTCACGAAAGTCAAACCTAATTTCATTATTTGCCTTAATGATATCATTGTTCATCCTACTCATTCACAATATAGGCTTCACTTAGGGGTGACAATCGAGCCTAACAGCTCATCGGCTTGACCTCTCCGCTCGTAAAAAGGCAACTTGGGCTCGTATTTTGACGAGCCTGAGCACGAGCCAAGCAGGCATGCTCACTAGGCAAGCCGAGACAGCTTGCCCATGGGTGAACGGCTCGTGGGCTTGTTAAATAAAGGAACAAAAAGGTCAAAAAATAAAAAATAAAAATTGAGCTCATGGGCTCATCTCGTGCTTGAACGAGCTTGAACTCTACTCGTCACTTTGACAAGCCGAGCTCGTGCAGCTCGTTGCCATCCCTAGCTTTACTTCAAAATAAATCGTATGCTTCCAATCCAAACGCTAGAAAATACTAGCAAAATAAATTAAATTATTATGGTGGAACAAATAAAAAATATTTTATGTAAAAAAAAAAAGGTTTAAAAGTATGGTTATTTACGTAATTTTAGTTATGGCCATATTAGTAAATAGAAAAAATATTTTAAAATATAGTGAACCAAATAAATATCGTGGTGATAATAAATAAAGTAGTATTTGTGAGTGACATCTATATACCTATAACCCTAGATTTTATTCCATTTTTTCACTAATTCCTTTCTATAAATAAGGGGCTTTAGTTCTCAATAAAAACACATGAGTCTTCTTACTTTTTTATTTTTCTCTTTTTTCTGTATTTTATAATACATTATCAGTATGATTCTCTCAAAATCTAATGTTAAAAGGTAATAATTTTCTTAAGCATAGTTATATGTTAGGTGTACCAAAATTAATTTGATGACACGTAAAACTCTATAGTTTCTGCCACGCATTAATTGTACACTGCTCCTTGTAAATCATAGTCCATTCCTGCAATCATTAGATGTATATGAATTTGAGTCAATTCGCATTATTATTATAACATTTGCGGCAGAAACAATTTGAGTCAATTTTCGAATTTGAATCAATTTGAGTCATCAACATCACTATTATTATATGAATTTTTCCCTTTTTCTACCTCTGTAATAAGAAGAATACAAAATTCACGGAAACATAGCAAAATTTACAACTTCCAAAATTAAAAAAAGTTTTTAGGAAATTACAGCAACAGAGTTCAAAATTTTAATTCAAGGCATGCCATACATCCTCCTAAGTATTCAAGTGACACAAACCTTTTCACCACAACATAGCAAAACTTTGGACATTGTTAGTAAAAACTTACTGAGATATATCCAGATTATAATTACTACATACAACGGTGGAGTTAAAATGAATTTATATTTTTTATGTGTTTATTTGATTAGCATAAAATGAAGGTGTGAAATTCATGGAGAGGAACTTGAAAATGATATGGAGGGTGTTGAAAGAAGTACATCTAAATTGGACGAAGAAGAAAATGATGATGAGATGAATGATATGCTAGAAGATCTATGTGCTCTCATGTCATTTGAAGCTAATCAAACTCGAGAGGGGGAAGAACATGGCAAAAATCATAATTTTTCACCTCAAATGCCTAATCAATAGAGCAACCATTTCTTAAAGATGATGACCGAAGCCCAACGAACTTTGTTTCCTGGTTCTAAAATGTCATTATTGAATTTTATGGTAAAATTGATGCACATAAAAGTTCTTAATTAGTGGAGTAACAAATCTTTTAATATGATGTTGGAATTATTGAAGATGTTTTTCCAGAAGATACTAGATTACCGAAATCAACATATGATGCCAAAAAATTGCTAAGTGAATTAGGATTGGATTGCGAGACTATTCATGCATGCAATCACGATTGTGTATTATTTTGGAAAGAGCATGAATTTGCCACTAGGTGCTTGAAATGTGATGAACCACGATACAAACCCAATTTTGGCAAGGGAAAGAAGGTGCCTCAAAAAGTATTGCAATATTTTCCATTGAAAAAAAAGATTACAGAGATTATTCATATCCAGACACACTGCTAAAGATATGAGACGGCACATAAAAGGACAAGTTGAAATAGAAGTTGTTCTAAGACATCCAACTAATGGTGAGACATGGAAAGAATTTGATAAATTATACCCAAAATTATGCAAGATCATCGCAATGTTAGGTTAGGTCTTGCAATGCATGGCTTCAATCCATTTGGAAACATACATAATTCCTACAGCATGTGGCCTGTTATTCTTGTGCAATACAATATGCAACCGTGGAGGAGTATAAAAGAACCATTTATTATGATGTCATTGCTAATTCCTAATAGATGAATTGAAAGAATTATGGGAAGTTGGTGTTGACACATTTGATGCTTATAGTGGTCAAATGTTTTTCTATATATACAGCATTAATGTGGACCATTAATGATTTCCTGCTTATGGAAATTTATCAGATGGAGCACTAAGGATACGAAGCTTGTCTAACATGCAATGAGAATACTTCTTCGCATAGGCTATGTAGTAAAATATCTTTACGGGTTATCGACGTTATTAACCACTTCACCATCCTTGGAGAAAATGTAAATTACATTATGGCAAATGGGAATTACGATCACCACTAAAAAAGTTATCGGGAGATGATATTTTAAAGTAATTACAGGCTGTGAGGTGTGGGAAGCCTGGAAAGCACCCAAGTAATAAAGATAGAAAAAGGAAACGAACTATAGATGAGCTAAATTGGACAAGGAAAAGCATTTTCTTTGAGTTGGAATACTGGTCCAAATTGAAAATAAGACACAATTTAGATATGATGCATATTGAGAAGAACATGTGCAATAATATTATTGGGACATTGTTGAATGTTGAAGGAAAGATAAAAGATACGGATAAGGCTAGACTGGATTTGCAAGATATGAAGTTTAGAAAAGAATTGCATATAAAATCACATGGTAATAGGTTTTTGAAACCTCATGCATTTTACACATTAACATTGGAAAAAAAAAATCTTTTACAAGTTTTTGAAATCTCTATCAAAAATTTCTAAATGTGTTCTAGAAAATGAAGGCAAAATATCAGGTTTGAAAATGCATGATTGTCATGTGTTGTTGCAACAACCTCTTCTTGTTGGGGTTTGCATTTTTTTTGTGAAATGAGGTGTGTAGTGCAATTGTAGAACTTTGTTGCTTTTTTAAACAATTATGTTCAAGAAGTTTGGATATAAATGATTTGGAGAAATTGGAAAAAGGGATTATTATAATTTTATATAAACTAGAACGAATTTTCCAACAGCATTTTTTGCTGTTTACCTGCTTGAAGAAGCAAAACTTGGAGATCCTGTTGCATTTAGATGGATGTATTCAATTGAAAGGTAATTGTTAATATTGCATACATATATACTTTAAATTATTCTCATTTTTTGCCTTTTTATTTTCATTAACTTTTCATGTAATTCTTGATGATAGAATACTAAGTCGATATAAGAGTTATGTTAACAATAAAGCTCGACCCAAAGTGTCAATTGCGGAAGTATATATTGTTAATGAGTCTTTGAATTTTTGCTCAATGTATCCCAATGATGTTGAAACAAGATTTAATCGACTTGAGTGTAATGATGATGTTAGGATTTCAACTACAAGCTTGTTAGTCTTCTCTCAAAATATTGGACCATTAGGTCATGCAGAACCAAAGTTACTTTCGAAACAGGAAATTGATAGATCTCATTGGTATTTCCTAAATAATTGTGATGAAGTTCAGTAAATAGAGCAAGTTCTTATTCAACTTTTAAATTATTTTGCTAACAGTTACTAATGTATTGTAGTATTTAACCACATCTTCATTTTCTAATGAGCGCATGGAGTTATTGCAACAATAAAATCATAACAATTTGGAGCAAAAACAAGAAGAATTGTTTCCTCGATAAGTTTTAATGGATGTTTTATTTATTTATTAATGCAACATAACATTTATATCCTAAGTTATATTGATTATGTTCTTATTGGTACAGATAACGAGATTATAAAATCAAAAGGATTCAGTTGTAAGCAAAGAATTGTATGCACTAGCATTTAAACCGAATTTTAGAATATTTTCCTATTCAGGTTGTATTGCTAATGGGGTACGATTCCTTATTAAAGATCGAGATGATTATTGTGCAACACAAAATAGTGGATATGGTGTCAAAAAATGAGAACATCAAGCTTTTTGGTGAACTTTGTGATGTTGTTGAGTTGATATACGCTTTTTATGATCGCTTCATTTTGTTCAGTGTAATTCGTACGATAAATAATCCAAAGCAAAAAAAGATATGTTGTAGATTACCATCTAAATTCTATCAATGTGAATCACAAATGGTACATGGATTATTCATATATTCTTGACATCCAAGCACAATAGGTATTTTATATGGATGATCTTGTGTTGGATCCACAATGGAAGGTAGTGAAAAAGGTGCAACATAAAGGCATATGGGACGTTTCTGAACACGAAGATGGCGGTAGTGAGCAAGTAGTAATTC